GGGAAAAAGGAAATTGCAAGCTATATAAGTTTTTAAGCGTCTTGAGGAGCATGGGAAGCGTCAGCAGCGTCCAGAAAGATGCAAGCTTTTCATAGAACTTTGAACTACTGACTTTCCTCACGTTCACTTAGGAAGTATGATGATATTCCTATCAAGTATCGCTTCATAAAGTGAATATATGAATTAATCAAACTAAATTGTAGCAACAATCTTTCGAATCATTACCATTGCTGCTTGGTTTCTAATTAAACGGGACAAAATCGAAACTACGATCACTTCTAGTTGTACTAGGGGCAGCCTATGCATTGTTCAAAAAACGCACTCCAAGCAATGTTGTTTTTATGCTTCATCGTACAAAGAGTGACGAAAAGCTGGAGCCCCGCTGGAGCAATTGGTTAGCATGCAACGACGAAAAGCGCATTCCATTTCCGTTTAAGATTTGGAGTTTTGCATATGATTTAACATTAGTGGATAATGCTATTTTTGTTTTCTCCAGAGATTTTTCAAAGAAAGAATAATAGTAACTTTGGCAGAGAAGGTTGGAAAGATCAAATCATTACTAGCTTTACTTGCAGACTCAAAATTGAGTAGTTCGCAGAAGCAAAAATCAAGTAACCATGAACACTGAGTTTTTCTTGACTCTTCTTGATGAAGGTCACGAGGCTGTCAATAGTATGACTTCATTCAGAAGAGTAACAATGGTTGACTTTCCGACGGCATCGCCTTCTTCAAGGTCTGTAGTCAGATCGAATTGCAATCTACTTAGCCAAACACTTCCATAGCTGGAGCGACAGAATTCGACACATAAGTGTTTGATCGCGTGGTAAACAGCTTCTAATGAATACTCACCGATGTCGATCAACCGCTCCGATTCCTACATTGGTGAGGCATGTGTCTTACTTAGATCAAGAAATCGATGAGTGATATGACACGATATCAGGTGTGAAGAACGACGCTCGCTTTGCCTTTCATTTCTGGATTTTTCGCATATGGGTGGTTGCTCTTACTTCAAATCTTTTTAGTCATGGCTCGGTGTCCTATGCGCTTCAGTGGGCTGTTTGGTTCAATTCTGAACTAAGCTGCTGGCTGCTCCTTTACACAAACACAGCATAGCCTCCTTGTTTTGTCAATGCAGTCGTCCCAAAAACTTCCATAATTACTAGATGAATGGTACCTAAGCCCATGCAACTACCAATTGGAACGTTAGAAGATAGAAAGCTCTCGGCGTCAATCAATCCCTAAGGAATGCGCCGTGCATTCGTCTTCAATTTCAACTCCGCTTGAGGTGATTGAATGCATATCTGGCCTTTACAATGACTCGTGGTGGCTTCCTCGCTGTACGGAGTCATTGCTGCTTATTCTCCCAGAGAAGTCTGAGACAAGTCTGGTACCAATCTACCGACTCCGGAGGGAAAAAAGGCTCAGTGAGCTATGAGCGCGAGATCGAATCATCGACCTCGTGTGCGGCGCAGAGCACCTCTAATCACTGCGCCACATGCACTCTTATCTCAAAAGATATTATGCAGTTTTTTCGTGAAGCATAGATATTCGCGCAGGCACTTACAAATTAGCCGGCGTTCAAGTAGTCATCGGTCGTTTCAAATAGTGCTACTGATTCTTGCAAGGCTTATCACTGTTCAACCGTTTTATTGAATGGGACACTATTGTCGCTGTACTTAATGTTCATAGCAAGTGCTGAACGAAGTTGAAGATTGCAACGAGGACGAACGATTGTTGATATCGTCTCGAATCATTGGCCCCGAAGAAGACGAGAACATTGAAACGTCAGTCGAATCAATATGATTCAACTTTGTGTAGGTTTGACTATTTATGGAAATATGCATGAAAATGCCCCTAAGTTTTTCGAGCCACTAATTTTTCTTCCGTTTTCCTTTTATATATAGTATTTTTTGACGTTCACTTGAAAGGACGATATAACTGCAATGTGTTTGCACCCCATCTCAAGTATTCGGCTGGAAGTGTAATAGTTGCATAATACACATAAATTTATTGGCAGTGGGAAACATCGCCTATTTTTTTGGTTATTCTAACGGAAGATGGAATACAGTGCTCAATTAGTGAAGGCAAGAAGCATTATGCTACAGCAAAGTCGTTGATTCACAATCATGCAATGAACATAGGCGCCATCGAAAAGTGAAGCTCCTAAAAAATTTCATCACGCCAATCTGTTCTGAGCCATAGAGCATTATTTGACTTTGGCGACCTTTGAGGATTGTTGTGAGATAGTCGACATAGGTAACGCTACTTATCAAAGCGATGCTATCGGTGACTTATGACAATGATTGGTCAGACACATCATGAAGTGACTTTTGACATTTAGAAGAAGGCAGCTATCACTGAAGATTGAAAGTGTGACAACTGAATACCGGAGGTTAAGAGTGTTCGGTGGCGTTTCAGACAGTGTTAAAAATACTCTAACGTACCCTTTTCAAACATTGCTTTATGACAAAACCTATTTTGTTCATAATGAAGGACACAGTAAGCAGGACCTGTTTGTCGCTGGACCTGTCATCATGGGTCTGCTTCTCCCACTGCGTTTATTGTGAAAGGCTTCAGCTTAGTAGCCAGAGAAAATGACCTATTCCTGTGTCAGACTCAGGGTCCTTCTTTCGACTCGTTACCTAGGCACGCACTAGAGAGCTTCCGAATCATAGCTTTTCACAAACGCATCATTTGTGTGTAAAGATGAGAAGAGGAGTCTTAATTAGTATGCTTTTGTTGATTGATTTTCGAACCATTTAGTGGTCTTGGCGTCTTGAGAGGGCTTGATCTGTACGTTTAAAAGGAAGCCAGTCTCCATTCAGTCTCCGTCGTGTGGATTCTATATACTTTGACTGCCATTTTAGGAAATTAAGACATTTATCCACTTGACCTTGTGTTTGGCAGGTAACAAGGCAGTCTATAACGGAGTAGCGGCCGGAGACTATGTGCGGGCTTTCAACTTTAATATATACGTAAATAATATATATGTAATTTGGTGTTAGTTGGTGTCCCACTGCTAGTATTCTCATTTGTGTATGAAACGAAGCCTTACGCTCAACGGACTTGCAGGAAAGCCTCTTATTATCACTTGAGCGGTGAAGCTTTTCAAATTTGCTTACAATTTAAGAATTCCCAAGACCGACTGTCTATTAATCTCGGCATGCTTCAATACAATTCCTGATATTCTTCTTTAGACCAACGAGGTGTTACATTAATTTTTATTTGACAGCTGACGTTTCGGCAGCCTTTTTCAGAGCCTGGAAAGGTCAAATTGTCGCAATCCAATGAGCCAAACACCTCCAATACTCCTTTAGAAAAAATCACCAGACCTAGATTTCAATCGCATCAAGCACAAAATCAACTCTCAACATACTCAACGCTTTTGTGTATGTGTTCCACCGAATAATTCACCTAGAGACCACCGGAAGGAGATCACATAGGCTCGTATTGCACCTTTCCCATCAGAACAACAGTCTTATATACTGACTCAAATCACGTGTGATAACGAGGCATTCCTCCCTGCGGTTTATGGTTGGACTGGTGGTATTAAACCAAAGTGCTTCAAGAAGTTTTCGCGCCGATGATTTTTGTTCCTGCGCAAGGATGGTGACTTCGATCTCAAAATCAACTACAATCAATTAAAAGCGGTGAGTATGTTGAGAGTTTATTTTGTGCTTGATGCGATTGAAATCTAGGTCTGGTGATTTTTTTTTTATAGGAGTATTGAGGTGTTTGGCTTATTGGATTGCGGACAATTTGACCTTTCCAGGCTCTGAAGAAGGCGAACTGCTGAAACGTCAGCTACCAACTGATGTTTATTCTAACACCTCGTGTTTGGCTCAAAGAAGAATATGAGGATTACAATTTAAAGTTTTCAAATGGGTACTTTGGAGATCAAAAATTTCGAACGCGACCGCGGCAACTGTGAAAATCAACATAATGGGAAACAGCATCGCGTCTTGTTAGACGAATTCTCACTTATTGATTTTCTGCGTCCGGGATATGAATTTTAAGGAAAAAATGGTGTCTCTGAAAAATCGGAAATAAGCCAAAGGAGAAGCAAGTTAAAGCAAATTACCATGGTATCTTCTCAACTATTGTAGAAATGATGGTTAGTGGCTGGCCAGTTGATTTAGATCATAAAAAAGTGATTTGTTGCTTCGAACGTAAAAGCATTTACCTATGAAACTGATTTGCAGATTCGGAATTCCACATCCAAATCCGGCCAGTATTCTACGACGTCCATAAAAATGGCAGATCCTCAATCAAGCGATTTAGCGAGAGAAGACAAGTCGAATACTAGGAAGACTTGCACCAGCAGAGTGAAAAAACTGTGATACAGATCAAAGAAAGTGATAGGAACTATCTGTAGCATTGCATCCATCCTGAGGACCTCTAAGAACATGGCCACTTGGAAATGCAAGCATGAATTTTTCTCATTTTCTAAATTCAGGTCGAGCAAACTGGAATCGTGAACCGATAGACACGGACTGTGACAGTATCTTGACTTGATATCTCCAAAGCACCATGGATTACAATTAGGAATTAAGCGGCTAGTTCCATCGCCTTTCAGTTTATTATAGGCTATGACTTCCCAAGGTAGCCTGTCATTGCTGGTAATTAGCAGTCCTTGTCGTTTCACTCGTTGACGTCTTAGTCACAATGGAAGGCATGCCTGACCTTATTCGAAGCTGTCACGTAGGAGACCCAGAGTCAGATGCTGGGTGAACAGAGTATTTTCGACTGCCCACATTCATGCACACTTCCCATTCTCTCTGTTAGACGGCATTTCCGGCGCTGTAGTATTCCCAAAGCATTCATTGAGGCATGATCAACTGTAGAGAGATGATTAGTTATTGTGTCAGCCACATGCAAGATCCGGTTTCGATTTCTGAGCGGGGAGAATTTTTGAATAGCCGAACACCAGTTCTCTTCATTTTTCTTGCTAAACGGCGTTAGTAATGACACGCATTTGCCAACGAACAAATCTTCTTCCGTCCTTGGTAGTACGGTGGTTAGTACCCGCGTCTGTCACATTTGAGACCCGGGTTCAATTCCATGCCGGGGAGAACACTTTTGATTTTTGGTAGTCGATTGTTATTCCTTATTATTCCATCTGATGGACGGCGTTTCTAATGATACACGTATGCTAAGGCATGTTTTATCTTGCAGTCCTCGGTAGTATAGTGGTTAGTAGCCGCGTTTGTCACATGCGAGACCCGGGTTCAATTCCCGGGCCGCGAGAGTGTTTTGATTCTCAGTAGTCGAACACCGATCCTTCTCATTTTATCTCCTCGACTAGGTGATGGCCAAAATTAGGGCATGCTTTTCGCGGCGCGCGCTGCAAGTGGTTCGTACTGGAGCACACCGCAGCGGAAATCAAGTATTTTATTGAATAAATTGATGTTTCGAGGAAGCAATAGTTACTAAATTATGAAAAATCAGAAGAAGGGCTTTTATGAATAGCTTCTTTTAGTATAGAAAACACCCGTGTGTTGCAAGTTTTCCACTCTTTCATGGTGAAAGTTAGACGCCTCCAATAGGCGAACATATTTGCAGCTGCTATGTGAAATTTTTTTCTTGTTTCGTATATTTCTTCATAGCATACAATAGCATGACAAATGCGAATATCAATACTGAGCTTGGATTCTGGAGGCCAACTTGTTCTCATTCTGCTAACGAAAAGAACACTACGTTTTGCTCCATGAGTCAGTACTTTCATCTTCGCAGCAGATTTTTGATCCAGTATAGTGAAATTTCGATTCTATTTAAATTGATCGGCAAGAGAAAAGTGAATACACTGAAAAGTCTCCTGCCAGAGTATTTTTTTGTAAAAAGAACTCGCAGTTATCCTAAATATCTCCACTTTTCAATGCGCGTCGTGTGAATGCAGTCGCTTTTTGAAACTTGCTCATGTTTCCTTGCCTTTTTTGGTAAACAAAGCTTCTTCTCTAGGCGATCATTAGTCCATTCAATAGCTTGAAAAATGAGCATCTTAGTACTAGACCTGGTTCCCCAATAAAATTTACGTCTTAATAAATACTAAGGAAATAAAGATTATATTTTAAGTCCATCGTTTCAACTTCACAGTAAATTTTTCCTCGTTACGAATTAAAATTTTCACGCCTTGTGAAAGCCGAGAGTCCTGAAATCACGAAGAGTCTCCTGTCTCCGCAGACATTGAGCTGAAACGTCAACGTGGAATCGCACGAGCTACAGGCAACCAAAGCCTTACGTCCGATCTTGTGAAACGTTGCAGAGAAGCGATAAAAGAAGAACTCAGAGACAAGCAGCAGTTATGGCAGGAGCATTCGCAAAGCTCAGCGAGGCTTCGCCAATTATGAGACCAAGATGATTGCACTACTTGCCCTAATGGGGCACTTACAACTTCCAGAAGGGCAGTGGAGAGAAATATCCACCAGTATTATTCGGATCTCATCGCTAGCCATGTCCTCTTACCGTCATATCAATTGAAAGAGGATGAATTAGTCGTTTCACCGATCCTCCCTTCCGAAATCCGACATGCTATATCTTCGTTGAAGAGCTGAGCAACACCCGTCCCGACAGGATTAGAGCAGAACACCTGACGACCTGCCGCCAGTCCTCATCAACACCTTGGCTGAGCTCTTTACTCGCTACCTGTCAGAATGCAACGTCCCTATTCAATGGAAAACCAGCAAGACCGTATTGTTACTTGAAAGTAGAGACCTTCACGACATAAGCATTTATCGCCCAATCTGCTTGCTGTCCGTTTTCTATTAACTCCTCACTTGAGTCATCCTAAACGGGATTGACAGAACACTGGACGAAGGACAGCCATGCGAACAAGCAGGGTTCCGAAAAGAATTTGGTACCATAGACTCCACACATTCACAAGACTCATCAAAGTTTTACAAGAATACAATCTACCGCTTTACCTCACTTTCATCGATTTGAAAAAGCCTTTGATTCCGTGGAAACAAAAGACGTTGTGAAGGCTCTGGATACAAGGGCGTCCCTACTCGGTACATAATGAACCTTCGTGAGCTGTATAAAGATTTTACAAGCAAAATATCTCCATTCTACAAGAATATCACCATCGACGTAAGAAGAGAGGTTTGACAAGGCGATACGATTTCGCCAAAATTATTCGCTGCCACAACTCCAAATGTCATGCGAGCAATAGAATGGGAAGATATCGGAGTGAAAATTGACGGCAATTAAACCATCTCGCTTTGCTGATGATATCGTCCTTACAACACCAAGCATCAGCCAAGCGGAACGAATGTTGACTACTTTCAACTCCTGTGGAAAGATTGGTCTTCAACTAAATCTGACGAAACGATGTTCATGAGGAACGGATGGGTTTTGAGTAGATTTAGAGGACCTGAATCTAGAAGTAACTATAGAAATGTTTTTAAAACATTTGTAAACAGGATATTCTTGTAGTTTTAAGGATTAGTTTTATTGTAGAATTGTTAATTGTTGATCAAGGGTTAGTTCCTTATTTTTTTGAGAATTTTTTTTAAATAAAAATATCAGATTGTAAATCCAAAGATATATTATTCTTGAAACCATTCACGCCCATTCACGCTCAACGAAGCGAAAATCTCCAAATGCTCCAGTTACTTCTATCTTGGCCGTGAAATCAAATGATGAACGAACTACGTCCAGAGTTGAGCAGGAGGAAACGAGCAACTAGGGGGAACGTTTGAGAGCATCAAAGATGCAGTGAAGAGGACAAGAATCATCCGGCTCTCTACCCATGTTTGCGACTCGACAATTATCCGTGCCCTAGCGTATGCAGTACAAACCTGGTCGTTACCTAAGCAGGATGAAGAACCACTTGACGTTTTTGAACACGCAGCCGAAAGGTCGATGCTAGGAGTATCCCGTATCTCGCAAATGATAGAAGGGATCCGAAGCTGCGACCTACATTAACGATCGAAAATCAGAGACGCCGTTCTACACGCCAGGATATCAAAAATAAGGTGGGCCGGACACGTGATGCGCTTCAACGACAACCGATGAACGAAAGCCGTTACCAGACTAGATCACATCAAGCATCAAGCACTCTACAGGAAGACCACCGACCCGTTGGCCCGATTTCTTCAAGGGTATAGAAGAAAGATATGATGCTCAGCGAATCGCTAGAGCGACGAGAACCCACTGGGCCACTTTTGCACGCGATAGGGACAAATGGAAGTGTTGCTGTGTTAGTCGCTTCACTTACTCGACGATCAACGGGACGATAGGTGATACAATGATACAGCAAAATTTTTATTCTAAGCGAAATTTATCGACAAAAAGATAGATTGTTATTGGAGAGACTTCCATTTTTTTGCAGTACGAGAAGCTACAACGTGTTAATTGTAACTTTCCTCCTTCTCAGTGCAAAAGCCACATCGACGGGATAAGAACGCATTCCTAACTCCTCTTTCACATTTATTTCGACAAAGTTGTTAAGCTGTTAATCAGAAGCATCTCATGTGCAATGTACGACTTTTAGAAAAAAAACATACATGAATGAGTTTTCAGCTGTTCTTGGAGTTGGCCTTCATAGAGTTGGCATACTTGAATTTCTGAAGTACTTCATTGAAAAGTGTGTATTTTTGCCTCTACTACAGTGATACTTCTTGTTTTTCCGGTACACTATCCATTCGATTGCTTTGAGAAATGGAGAAATTCGGCACTAAGCTTGACTCTTGAAAAAGACTTCCAGGGTGCTGTTGAAACGACTGGAAAAATACACCTCATTTTGAGGGTAGTTAGCCCGACATTTAAACATCACAGCGAATTTTGTTCACATTTGTCTAATGATGTTTAGATGATAAGAGGCACTTTGTTGTCAAAAATAAAGGGGATATCAATGAAGAATACCTGAGAGTATTGCTTATCTGTTTTCAGTAAGAAAACGACAATTTCGGAAAGAGAACACATTCCCAACTTATAATGCGTGTTCTTGTCGCCTATCTTGCGAAAGTGGTTGTAACGATGAATAATGTTTATAGCAGAGTATAACTGGACATTAGAGACTGAATACCCACAGAAGGATCAAACAACGTTTGTTCTGTAATTCTATAGAGGCTCCCATTCGTGCAATACAGTTATAGGCGGAACATTATTCAAAGCTATGGATAAAGTGACGTAGCAAAGAATGCACTATCACTTTTTCGAAACCATTCATTAATTTGCAATTTCTGATCATTCTGATGGTTTTTGAGCTGTGCATAAATGAGATGATATAAAACTGAGGAGAGATTGATGTTGTAAAATGTGGTTTCAAAAGTACGTGATAAGAAATTTGATTACTTAACAAGGCATGTCATAAAATTTGATTAAGGAATACGAGATAATTTTAAGCTTGGGAAAGAAGTTTTGGGGCACTTGTTAAAAAGTTGAGACTTATGAATGAAATTCATCAAAAACAATGATAACTAATCTTTAAAATAAAGGCCATCGTTTTCTACGACTTTCTGCCTTCGGTCCGCCAAGTTTCGAATTTGGTCAAAGTCGACCATTCCTTCGACTTCCAGTCAAGGAACTCTTGACATGCTTCTCCAGCTCAATCGAACGATTCCAATTGGCGAATCTTCAAAAGATGCTGAATTGATCGGAAAAGGCCAAAGTCCGGTGGAAAGCAATGTGGGCTGTAGGCAGGAAGTGGCAGAACCTCAACACCGCTCAAGCCATCAAACTTGCCTTCGCTCTTTTTCTCAGTGTGTGGTCCGGCATTGTCAAAATACGAATTTCGACTGTATAGTTGGACATGGCAGAGGCTTGTAACAAAGTGAAAATAAAGTCGAATAATATCTAGGCTTTTGGTGGGGAGATCCCACATAAGAAACTACAAAATTCCCATGACATACATGGGAGTTATCCCATGCTTTTTGACATTAAAGGAACACGTATACCGATAATGGTATACGAATGTTTGGAGGCCTCTGTCTCCGAATAAAGTTTTCTCTTAGGCAAGTGGCAATCATTTGAAAGCTCTAATCTCTATGGTTTTATAGATATGTTTAATTTGAAGAGAAAAATTTTCTATTACGTTGTAGTAGCTAGAACAACGTTATGTTTTATTTTTCGT